AATCCCACCATGGCAGAATTAGAATTTGAGAAAATTCTGCTGCATTTGGCAACCGAGTAACCACTTTCAATTGTCATAACTACCCATCTAGTTCACAAATGGCCTTTAGGAACACATATCTGTTGTCCTTACCAGGTCTAGGCACTCAGTTGATGGTAGTTAACATGGTCCATCAATGAGGCCAGCATGATCTTCCAGATTGTTTATTAACTAATTCAAATTCCAGCCGCTGTCCTGATGGGCTTTGTTCACATGCCAACAAGGCAATATCAGGTTTATTATTCCAGTCATCTTACTGCTACACTACCATTTCTATCTGGCTACATCACAGATTGGTATAACCACTGCTCTGCCCAGGACTGTAAGAAACTACAGAGAGCTGTGAACACAGCCCAGTCCTTCATACCAGCCAGCTTTCCATCCATTGACTCCATCTATATATTTCCCACTGCCTCAGAAAGGTAGCCAACATAATCAAATATCCCTCCCACCCCGGTTATAATCTCTTCCGTCAGGCAGAAGATACAAAAGCTTAAACACATGTACCAACAGGTTTAATCAACAGCTTCTTCCCTGCTGTTATTAGACTGCTGAACGGACTTCTCAAATTTCAAATCTAATGTTGATCTCACTCTTTGTGCACCGTCTCTGCAGCCATAACATTGTATTCCTCGCTTTGTTCTATTACCCTAATGCACTTTGTATGGTGTGATCTGCCTGTACTGCATGCAAAACAAAACCTTTCACTGTACCTAGGTACATGTGACAATAATAAATCAAATGAAAAAGCTCTCATAACTCATGCCACACAAGACTGAAAGTGAAATGGGAGATTCCCTCACACAAAAGTTAAGCAACGTACACCAGCGGCAGAATTGGGCTGAGATGCTGGACAAGTTTCAACCGATACTTCTGGTTTATCTCCCCCTTGGAGTTGCCATGTTTTTTTTGGGGTGGGGTGGAGTATGTATACTGTGAAAGATAAGGCAGTGCAATTCCTGGGCAACTGTAAGAAGATGCCTTTTATTACCCTGGGATTGTTTGCACTTTATGAGTTGCAAAACTGCAGTTATTGTACAAAGAGAAAATAATTACAGATACATGCAGAAGCTGGGTGAAAACATAGGATTTGTAAAGGAGACAAAGTGAAAATTCCACATGCAGCAATGAAAATAAGTTACGTGGTGATGTTAAAAGTTGTTTTTAGTACAATTTGAAACAGGCTGCTCAGATCTCCATGTCTGCCCATGTCTCAGCATTATCACAGTTGGGGATCAGATCGGAAGACTGCTATAGGAAACAAGGTCACTAAGTGGATCTTAATCTGGATATTATGCAAGGAATTATGGCTCAGCTGTGAAGCTCCAGGTTTAAATCTCACTCCAGCACTTGTTGCCTATGGTAGGAATACTCGTAAGAACATTCAGAACCAGAAGCAATAGGCCATTCAGCCCCTTGAGACTTTTCTGCCATTTAATACAACCATGCTGATCTCACCTTGATCTCAACTCCACTTTCCTGCCCACTCACGATAACCCTACATCCTGTTACTAATTAAAAATCTGTCTATCTCCTCCATAATCACTGTCCTGGCAGCCAATGCGCTCTGGGAGGGCAGATCCCACATATCCACTTTGAGAGAAGTAATTTCTCTCCATCTCTGTTTAAATCTGCCACTCACTATCCTAAAACTATGGTCTCTCATTCTGATTATCCCACAGGGCAACATCCTCTCCACATTGACTTTGTCAATCCCCTTTAGCATTTTGTATAACTCAATTAGCTGTCCTCTCACGCTTCTAAACTCAAGTGATTTTAGGCCTAAACTGCTCAGTCTCTCCTCATAAAACAAAGATGATTGATAAGGTAGGGCAGTGGGTGTTGTCTATGTGGATGTTACTAAAGTATTTGTCAATGTTCCTCTTGGTAGGCTGGTTCAGAAGATGAAGTCACATGAGATCCATGGTGAGTTGGTAAATTGGACACAAAATTGGCTTCGTCATGGAGACAGAGAGTAGTTGTGGAGGGGTGTTTTTCTAACTGGAGCCCTGAGACCAGTGGCATTCCACAAGGATTAGTGCTGGGATTGCTGCTGTTTGTAATATACATGTATATGTACATATAAATAATTTAGATAAAAATGCCTGATTGTTCAGTTTGCAGACAGAGCGAAAATTGGTAGAGTTGTGAAAAACAGTGCAGAAGTTTGTCAAAGAATACAGCAGGACGCAGATCAGTTAGGAAGTTCTCTCTCCCACTGCAACTCTCTCGTAATCTCTTCCTCTCCACCTAT